TAGGTTCTGGCTTAAAGGATTTGGGAAAGAAAATGGCAGCCAGCATTACTGGGCTGCTTGGTAGTGTCCTTAGCCTGGCACTTAAGACCGGCGGAGAACTATTTAAGTTCCTTGGAAATAACATTTGGATCTTGGTCGTAGCTATCGGGATGGTCCTCCTGAAAAAGGTGAAGGGCTGATCTTGTCCTTGTGTATTACTGGGGGCTTGTCGTCGTTGGGCCTCCGAGGCATCCTCGACTGGGGATAAATAAAGATAGTATTCGCGCCGCCTTGATAATACGGAACTAGCGGTAGGGCAGTCATGGTGCTAATGGGCTTATGACACCAAGCAGTATTAGGGGAATTGGGGCCTTGGCCATTTATTCGAAGGTAGGCAACGTCATTGGGAAGAACCTGAAGCYTCGCATATTGGCAATTGGCTATCATATGAAAAGTCGCCGGCCTTTGATCTTCTCCGCTTGTCGGAGGGGGCTCCGACGAGAAATGGGCTGGGTTCCTATTGTTAYCTTTTTTTCTGTAAGGCAGTAATGGATGGTTATTCTCATCAACGATCCTAAACCCAGCATTGCACGAATACCCCGTGTTAATGCTAATAGTACACACGATTAATCCCAGGCCTCCAACCTTCACCCACAATCCCTTGTCATACCGATGCTGACTCAGGTATTCCTTCTCCTCCACATAATGAAGAAACCAATCTTCCTTCGCGTGTGGGTTGTTCATATATATTACAGGCTAAGCACCGTCAAAGTGCTAATGGTCTTGTGATTATAGGCTGTATCTCTTTCATCCTCTATGCTATCTACCGCAACCTTTCCCGTATCGTCTACTCTTATCTGTAGCTTTACCTTCCCATGGCAATCGGCGACCATGTGAAAAGTCCAAACCGATAGATTTTCAGCGCTGCTGGGGTTCGGCTCTACTGAGAAATGCGCAGGCTTCCTGTTGTTTGACTTATTTCTCATAGGCTGCAGTATGCCGTTGTCATCCAGAAACCTGAGACCAACGTTGGCGTGACTACTTGTGCCAATGCAAATGCTGCATATTATCA